TGAACAACAGCTCGACCTGGAGCTGGGCTGCCGTGAGTCACCGGCGATGGCATAGGCTCCAGTGAAACTGCAGTGGGCTGCCATCAGCTACTGTGAGTGGCTGGTAGCTGGCGTGAGCTGCCAAGAGCTGCTGTGAGTGGACGTCCAGAAGCCGGCGATTGATCTGCTTTACCCGGGAAGAGTGCAATGATAATACTAACATGGGTCAGTGAAGCGCCGTCCTCCACAACTAGACTGAAGAAAAAAAGGACAGCAACTTGCCTGTTCCCCTTCCCCAATTCCCCAATGCTGTTCCCCTCCCCCAGTTCCCCAATAAAAAAATGTGTAAAAAAAAAGAATGTTTCAATATCAAAGGCAAATTTCAACAATGCAAAAACCAGAATTATGTTTGCACCAACCTAATACCTTGGCCATGGTTGTTCTGAAGTTGAGTTAATGTATGTAAAATATGCATGGTGTCTGGAGGTGCTGAGCAGCAACTAACAGCTGTATTGTGTTTCTAACGAAGGTCTCTTCTGTCATTGTTTAAAGTAAAAATTTATATACCATGTTCATTTTAGTATTCTTTTGAAGATCCTCAGGCCTCAATTTCATGAAAGGAGTAAAAAAACTCTGGGTATTTTAATGAACATGGGAATAATGCTGCTTGTGTTGTTTACTGGAGATGTTTTTTTGTTGTTCTTGGGTTTTTTTTGAGTATTCTGTTCAACCTCATATAATCTTAAGTTTCAACAAACCACAAAGTTCAGTTACTAACCTTCCTGACTTCTAACCAAATACAGCTCAGCTTCTGTTGCATGACCTGTTCTTGTCTTCTTCCCTCCTAGGTCTTTCAGAGCCTTGAAGACCACCATTTGGAAGTGGTGGCTTTTTTGAGGGAAAATGGCTTCCATGGCCTTCTTGCCCATGACTCCGAGTATGCTCTCTACAATATTCCCTTTTACTACAGTTCCCATGCTCTCAAGCTGAGCTGGAATGGGAAGAACCTCACTACCAACCAGTTCCTGATGCAGGAGGTGGCCAAGCAGCTGGGCCTGAAGCGGATGAATTTTCCCATATTTGCTGCTCTGCTAGGTAGGTAGTCCAAAGAACAGACTCCAGTGATTAGTAAAGTTTCCCCTTCCAGTAATAAGAGATGAAGACCAGAGCAATTTAGTCTATCGTTACTGGATTTATCTTCTGAAAGTTCACGTGCCAAACACTGCTTCTGGGCTTATTAGTAGAAACTCAGTATGTTTGTCTTATGAATTAATACAGGATATTCCAGAGCATTATTCTGATTCTTATTAAATTCCTTTGTAACATTCCATAACTACTTTTTGCAGAGTACTATCTTAGGCCAAATGTTTTCCTAGCCCTAGACTTCTTTGGTTTCCCACTCAGAGCATTCATATTTCTTCCCCAGTTATCTAAATTGGGATCACAAACACAAATTGTTACGTTTTTCTTTTTTGCTTTTGTTGTGCTAACATTTTATAATGAAAATTTCCAAACATACAGCAAAATTAAAAGAATTTTGTAGTGAAAATCCTGTATCTACCACCTGTTTCCTGCCATTAACATTTTACTATATGTACTTGCTTTATCATATATCTCTCCATTTTAGCCACTTATCCATCTATCTTTTTAATTTTGAATTGGGGAACAGTGTGTTTTTCCAGGACCCATCATCTCCAAGTCAAGTAGCTGTTTCAATCTAGTTGTGGAGGGCGCAGCTCAGTGGCCCATATCGGGATCGAACCGGCAAACTTGGTGTTATGAGCACTGCGCTCTAACCACCTGAGCCAACCGGGTGCCCTTCCATCTGTCTTTTAAAGACATATTTCAGAGTAAATTGCAGACTGTTGATTATGTTTGGGTTGGTTTTCCAAATATTGACAGTATGAAGGTTAATATCTTGTCTCAGGTAATCCCAGAGGGGTTGAGCTTGGATAATCTCACAGAGTCAGCAAAGTTTTGTAATTAGGCCTTAGGCAAATCACTAAAGTTACACATCCCTGGATTCAGTTTCCTCCTCTGTGAAGTAGAATCATAATAACTCATGGTGTTATTGATAAGGTCAAATGAAATGAGATACATAAAATTCCCAGCAGTTATTCGTCAGGCAATGGTGGCTGCTATTATAAAAGGCAGCATGACTGGTGATAGAAAATAGCATGAGCTTTGGAGTCAGTCCTGAGCTTCTTATCCTGGTATGGGCACTTATTAACTGTGCCACCTTAGGCCAAGTCACCAGACTTGTCCAAACCTCAGTTTCCCTATCTGTAAAATGGGGAGACTAATACCATACATAGTTATTATGATGATGATACGTATAATGCATGTGATACATAGGTAATCAACACAAAGCTACTTGTAGTCATTACATTAAGAATATAGACCTATGTGAATTATTTGATCATTTTCTCTCCCAGAAGCCCTTTCATGGCCTGGAGCATCTAAAAACATTTGTACAGTCAATAAATGACAAATGTACTTTATAGGTAACCACATTCTCCCAGATGAGGACCTGGCTGCTTTTCATTGGAGCCTCTTGGGACCAGAACATCCCCTTGCATCACTTAAGGTAATGTGCCCCATTTCCTGCGTATACATCCATGACATCAGGTTTTGATTGGAGTTTTGATATAATAATTATCTTTCATTAGGTATAAAATATTCCAAAATATTTACAGACAAAATTTATAATTATGATCAATACCCTTTAAAAAGGAAAAACTCAATTTTCCACCTCCAGCTCTTCTCTCCTCTGTCTTTCTTTCCTGTGTATCTCCTTTGCTTTCATACTGTTACCACACTCACACGGAATACATCACTTCTGATACATCTAGTATCCAAATGTATGTTTTTCCCCCCACATCAAGCAGTTCTATGCAATAGTGCCTGGGTGACATACAGTTCAACTCAGTTTTGATACTAACTACCTGGAGATGTCATCAGATTTTACAGGTTAAGGGCTCAGTCCCACAAAACCGCTCCCCCCCCCAACTTCAGACACCAGTTGCAAGACCAGGTTATCACCTGTCCTTCTGACCAACCTGCTAAAGGTCAGCGGTTCCAACGACCACCCCCCTTGGTTTTGATTCATTTGCTAGAGCAGCTCACAGAACTCAGGGAAACACTTACTTACATTTACCAATTTATTAAAGGATATGATAAAAGTACAGGATGAATAGCCAGGTGAAGACATACATAGAGTGAGGTCTGGGAGGCCACCAAGCCCAGGAGCTTTTGTCCCCATGGAGTGGGGGTGCCTTATCCTCCTGGTGTGGGCTTATAATCATGGTGTTGGTCTTTCCAGTAACCAGCTGTCATCCAGGAGCGATCGAGGAGCCCACCCAGAGTTACCTCATTAGAACAAGACATGTTCCTAGTGATCTTATCACTTAGGATATTGCAAGGGTTTCAGAAGCTCTGTGCCAAGAACAGGAGGCAGAGACCATTATATATTTTCTCTTATCTTACACCCTTAATATTTAAAGGATTTGTACACACTTACGAAGGGAAATAGAAATACCCCAATAAATGAACTACTGAGTAAAGGACAAAAGCAAATTCACAAAAAATGTACAGTAGCCAATAGTATGACTAAATGCTACACTTCACTGGCCGGTGATCAGACATTCAAATTAAATGAACAGTGTGATTTCTTTTAACCTAACAGTTTAGCAAATATTGAAAAATGAATCTATCCACTTCTATCAAGGCTATGGTAGTAGTGTAAGTTGGCGATTGTATTTATATCCCTAGTTCTTTTACTCTCCTAGACAACTATTTCGTACCTTTTCCTCTCTCCTCAGCCTCTGATACTCCCTCCTCCTTGCTCACTCTCAGCTCATGACCTGGCTTACTATTTCACTGAGAAAATTGAAGCAATGGGAAGAGAGCTTTCACTAACTCCCACCCTTTCATAATTTCTCCTGCATGCATCTGCGTGTCCAGATGCTCTGCCTGCTTCCTGTTAACTGTGGATGATCTGTCCATGTTTCTATCTAACGCCAACACCGTCCACTCTTACACTAGATCCCCCCCTCAATTTTAGCTAACTTAAGGGCATCACTTCAGCAGTTCTCCCCTCATCATCGGTTTCCCTCTCTTCATTGGCTCTTTCCCATCAGATGTATAAGCATGCACCCAAAAAATAAAACAAAAATCTGCTTTCAACCTCACTCCCTCCACCCAAGCTGCTGCTCTATATTTCTTCTTCCCTTGTAGCAAACTCTTTTGGAGAGTTGTCTATACTTCAACTGTTTACTTTCCCTTTTCCCTATTCTCTCTTCAGTGTGCTTTGCTGAAATTGCTCTTGACAAAGTCACCAATGTTAATAAATGTTGATGTTAATAAATCCAGTGGCCAGCTCTCAGTTTTCATCTTACTTGACCAATCAGCAGCATATGACCCAGTTGTTCACTCCCTCTTCCATAGAATATGTTCCTCACATGGCTGTAAGGACACTACTGTCTTCTGGTTTCCTTCCTACTTCCATGGATGCTGCTTCCCTCTCCTTTGCTGTTTCCTTGTCTTCTCTGCTTATTACCTTTGGAACGTCCCAGAGTTCTATCCTCTGTCTTTTCTCTTTTCTATCTACAGTCAGGGCCTTGTTGATTGGTCGCATCTAGTCTGATGACTTTAAACACCATCTATCCAGTGATGACTCCTAATTATATGTCTTCAGCTTTGCCTTCCTCCTTGCACTCCAGAGTCTAATATCTAATCACCTACTAAACATAGGTCGTATTCAAAGAAATATGTCCTAATGGAAACGCCTGATCTTTTCCCTATACCTGTTCCTCCCATAGCCTTCCGCATTTTCATTAATGACAACCTCATTGTTCTAGTTGCTCAGGCTACAAACCTTGGAGTCATCCTTGACTTCTCTCTCTCTTTCTCATGTCCCACACTTCCCCTGTCATCAAATACCATCAGTTTTCCCTGCTACCACCCTGCTCAAGTCATCATTCTTTCTTGCCTGGATTATTATAACATCTCACTAACTGTGGTCTTCTGCTTGCTCTCTTTCACATCACCCCTCCCCCCAAATCTATTCTCAATACAACAGCCAGAGTGATCCTTTTAAAAACGGACTCAGATCATATCACTTCTCTATTCGAAATTCTCCAATGGCTCTTCATTTCACTCACCCAGTCTTTACCATGGCCTACAAATCCCTGTTCTATCTGGCCCTATTACAGCTTTGATCTCATGTTCCCTTTCCTTTGCTTTTTGAACCTTTGCACTTACTATTCTTTCTTCTTAGAAGGCTTTTTCCTCCCATGTGGCTATTTCCTCCTATAGGTTTTCTCGAATGTCATTTTCTCAGTGAGGCCTATCCTGAGCACCGATTTAAAATTATCTGCTCATGTGTGCCCATTCTCTCCCTCTCTCTCTCTCTCTCTCTCTCTCTCTCTCTCTCTCTCTCTNCTGGGGAATTGGGGGAAGGGGAACAGACAAGTTGCTGTCGTTTTTTTGTTCTTCAGTCTAATTGTGGAGGACGTCGCTTCACTGGCCCAAGTTTGCACCATCATTGCGCTCTTCCCGGGCGAGGCACATCAGTCACCGGCTTCTGGACAGCCGCTCATTGCGGCTGCTGGTCGCTTATGCTGGCTGCCAGCCACACACGGTAGCTTACGGCAGCCCACTGCAGCAGGGGCTGCAGCCTATGCCATCGCCAGTGACTCACGGCAGCCCAGCTCCAGGTCGAGCTGTAGAGGGCAGTGTCACTGGCCCCATGTGGGATCCGAACCAGGGTCCTGCCACTCAGAGGTGGCGTCCCAAGCCAGCTCTTAACCAACGCGCCACTCGGCCAGCCCTAAGTTTGTTTATTCTTGTAGTGTAAAAATCCGTGCTTCGGAATTCAACAAACTCTTGGAAAGCATTTTCAGCATCCTGCTGGTTGTGGAAGTTTTTTCCCTGCAAAAAGTTGTCGAGATGCTTGAAGAAGTGGTAGTCGGTTGGCAAGAGGTCAGGTGAATATGGCGGATGAGGCAAAATTTCGCAGCCCAATTCATTCAACTTTTAAAGCCTTGGTTGTGCGACATGTGGTCGGGCATTGTGGAGAAGAATTGGGCCCTTTCTGTTGACCAATGCTGGATGCAGGCATTGCAGTTTTCGGTGCAACTCATCAATTTGCTGAGCATACTTCTCAGATGTAATGGTTTCTCCGGGACTCAGAAAGTTATAGTGGCTCAGACCAGCAGCAGACCACCAAACAGTGACCATGACCTTTTTTTGGTGCAAGTTTGGCTTTGGGGAGTGCTTTGGAGCTTCTTCTCCAAACATGGTCATTACCAGTTGTCGTATAAAATCTGCTTTTCATCTTGCTCAAGAAATGGTTCGTTGTTGTTGCGTAGAATAAGAGAAGATGACACTTCAAAACGATGATTTTTTTTTTTATTTGCGGTCAGCTCATGAGGCACCCACTTATTGAGCTTTTTTACCTTTCCAATTTGCTTCAAATGCCAAACGACCATAGAATGGTTGACGTTGAGTTCTTTGGCAACTTCTCATGTAGTTGTAAGAGGATCAGCTTCGATGATTGCTCTCAGTTGGTAGTTGTCAACTTCTGATGGCTGGCCACTACGCTCCTCAGCTTCAAGATTCTTGTCTCCTTTGCAAAACTTCTTGAACCACTACTGCACTGTACGTTCATTAGCAGTTCCTGGACCAGATGCGTTGCTAATGTTGCGAGTTATCTCCCCTGCTTTACGACCTATTTTGAACTCCAATAAGAAAGTCGCTTAAACTTGCTTTTTATCTAACATCATTTCCATAGTCTAAAATACATGTAAAATAAACAGCAAGTAATAAGTCATTAAGAAAAGAACATAAAGTGAGAAATGTGCATTAAAATGATGTATAACATATGTATAACACTTTTATTTAAGA